AGCCTACCATCAGGTTTTCTTCCGACAATATTTCGCGCCTGTGCTGTGCAGCTTCCCTTTTCCGTTTTGTCCCCTCGACGGAATTTAGAAATCTCATCGTGGAGTAATTGTGTTCCCTCCGCGACACGAGTGTCCCGTTGCACACGCCGTGAAATTCCAACGGCGACGTTCCCTACGTGCGAAGTGTGCGAAATTCTCGCCAGAAAAGGGGAAAAATGCTTGTAACGCGTCAGACCCCACCCCCGTTGAAGACGCCCCGGACGCAATCGCTCGTTTTCTACAATAACGACATAACTGAAAAATCGCGATTTTAGGGGAAACGAGTTTGAATGTTTTGATCGTTATAATTTTGTACGGTCATATTAAAGTGACTGTTCTGACATGGTAAGTTTTGGAAGCTCGCTTACAGGATTCAACTCATAGAAAATACACACAACGACCGTTTCTGCTACATTTAAAAAAATGTTAATTTCGAGTTATGTCATTGTCGCAGCAAATGAGCGATACGAATATATAAATATGCGATCGGTTTTTATCTAATGACGGTCTTAAAAAGCCGATAGACGTAGTAACCATAAGATATGTTCGGGAAAAGCGTCGCCCATAACGTATGCAGCGATTGCATTTGTATCACCCGCTTAAACGTGCCATTTATAAGCGCTCGGATCCGTTTAAGTGGCGGGACGAACGCGTTCTGTCGCGTGTTTCGGGCGTCGCAACGGCCGTTTCCTCTCCTCTCGCACGCAGAATGTCGACCTTCAGACGCGCCAATGTATCCAGCCACGCGCGATTCCGTGCCTACCGTGCACGGATCTGCTCCGCGGGACACCCGGTATATTTACATAGGGCTTTGCCAGCGGTGCGAGACGATGGTGTTCGAAGCGGTGGACGGGGCACCTGTACGGCTAGGGTAACCTGTCAAGCTGGAAGGGCAAGAAAGGGCCACGTAACAAAAGCTCTCTCTTTCTCTCTCTCCTTCTCTGTCAGGATTCCTCTTTACCTGCTCCTCGTCCACCGAATCTCAATTTAGGCAACAGGGTGTAGGCTGTGCGATTGTTGAACAACGATATACGGAAAGTATCCACATCTTCATTCAGAGAGACAAAGATTTCATAAATTTATCAGAGGAACCGAAGGTGATTCGTCTCGAACGCCCTACCTGTCGAGGGGGCGGGGGTGAGATCTCGTCCGAAGTGCATCGGTGTCTTCGTGAAATTATCGTTATTACACAGAGAAGGGCGTATCTTTCTAGATACGAGTTATCTGCTTGTCGCGCGAGCAACGAATAAACACCGCGGTTGGAATCCTCTTTCACCGGAAGTACGTCTTTCTCGCCCCATTCGTTCTGGGGTGACACGGCGTATGTATTCGACAAAGGTACTCGACGAAGCAACGTCGACACCCGTTCGCGAATATTGCGATTCTAGAGCGACGCGAAGGATTTTAAAATTCCATCGGAAGACGGTGGGACAGGACGGGTCTGCTTAATCACGACAGAGAATTTTCGGGAACCGTCGTTCCGCGCGATTTATCGCAGACATGAAAAAGAGGACGCGTAACTTCGTTACGGAGCGGAGGACGAGATTTAATGAAGGGATAAAGGGTCTGTCGGACGGCCGGGGAGATACGGGGGAGGGGGCTCTTTTAAGATCGGAGAAATGGACGACGCGACGGGGCAGAAAGCCGGCCTGAAAAATCGTATGGTAGAAACGTCTAGTTAAAATAAGCCTCGTTCTTCTCTCTCTCTCTCTCTCTCTCGTTCTTCCTACACCGGATGGGGAAGAGAGACGGAACTGTCGTCTTCATAAGATACCGCCGAAAATATACACTGATGTCGAATAGAAGGCGAGTCGCTGGCGCACCAAACCAAGAAGTTTATACGTGCAACGCCGGCTCGTCCAAACAAGCTAAAAGGGATGAAGAAAGGAACCAATACTCCTAGCAAGTGTGAATTACGATAGCCCATAAGCCACGTTGTAAAAATAAAGCAATAGAACGCGAGGTCTATTTTGAATACGTAGAAGAGATATACCAAACGCTTTCGAAAGCACATTTTCTATGGAACCGTTCACGAGGGCACAACTTTACCCCCGGTGTATCGCTTACGGCCGGAAATAAACAGCCAGTAATAATCGCCAAGGCTATTACTGAAGTCGGTCATCGCAGAAATTGACCTCCCTGAATTTCACGGACAATTTGAAAACAGCAATTGCCATGGTATCTTTTTAGGACAGCTGCAACGAGACAACATTATGATCCACGATACCCCTGGTTCTGTTCGACCGCGCGATAGTACGTGGGTTACGGCCCCGTTCAATTGATCGAAATTGGCTAATTCGTCAGGGCTGAAGCCATCGTACTCCCAACGTGATTAATTAGCCGGTGTATTGACCTGCGGGAACTATCTTAACTCGGGATATGCCCTGGTTCGTCGAGCACTCGAATCGAGCGAATCGTACATTTAGCTATAGGGTGGTAAAGGTATTCACAGAACCAGTCGTTCTCCAGTGGCGATTCGCGAATGGAATCAGACACCAGCTCGGTTACGCTTATCTACGACGAAAGTGACCGTACGGTGTTCGTTTTACGTGCGGCCGAGCCATAGGGAATCGGCTGCCGGACTCACGTGTCTCTCTCTCGTCGTCTCGATTCTGTGGGAGCTCCCTTTAGCATATAAAGCGAGTCGCCTGGCCGCGTCGTCTCTCCGTGCGTCCGTCGTCATGGCGAAACTAGTTCGCCCGTCCAGTTTTTCCACTCCCGGTCCACGTTTCAGTCGTGCACCCATCGCTGGTGGGAGACGACATCCCTAAGCAGTGCGCGTTCCTTCCAGCGACACGCTAATAATCCCGCAACTTGTTGCTGCTCCGACACGGTGGACCCCATTGATCGCCCTGGCGAGCGGTTTTACCTGGTATTTTGAAAGACCGGAACCGCTTTTCGTGGAATTCTTATACCCCGAACACGCCATACAACTTCCGTTCCACCTTCAGAACCTCGATAGAAACTCGCGTTCGATTTACTTCGAGATAACACGTGACAACCGGCCGTATGAAGTGCCCGTAAATTAATAGAGGGCGATAGTGGACATTTTTAATATTCGCGCGTTACCCCGATTCGCGCCTTCGATCGCGTGCAAATCAACGGAAACTACGCTTAACAGAAGAGAAAAGTAGTGAAAGACTCACCGAGATCCTCGACCAGACGTAGCATGACACCGCCGATGTGCAATTCCCCTTTTACTCGTAAGCTCCTCTCCACTTGAAGATCGGTCACGTAGACACGCAGCACCCAGCTGCCGTCCACCTCGTGACCGTCCGAATACATGTTTCCCGGATCGAGAAATCAGCGGCGAAACGAAAGAAAAGAAGGACAAAAAATAACAAACAAACGCGTTCTCTGGCTACGCGTATGCACTTTTCGGGTCCCAGCACTACGAACACGCAAGAGGAGAAAAGTTTCGTTCTAGGGAACGGAAATCATGATTCCGCGGCACTCGACTCCGCCGCGAACGCACTTGCGATATTTAATCGTTGTTCTCGATAAGAAAGAAATCGTGTCGCGTATCGGTGTCGGTTGCGATTCGTCGAACGTTTCGAACACGACTTGAGGCGCACTTGCGACACACTGGCAGTCACGAGCTGGTCTTGCACGAATTCGTGTTCCGAGTAATGTGCGGAGGCGCTCGAATCGTCGAGCACAGGCCTCAGCTGGTTTCTTGACTGGTGTCGGCTGAGCACTCTCGGCTCGGCTACGTTCTCTTACCGAGAATAGAACTATTTACAAGTGACGCGCGCTCGGAATGCGCGCGCAGATCTCCCCTTCCCCTCCGCCAGTCCCCGCCACCACAACACCTTCGACGCCATGGTCCCCCGTGACCCTCCGTTCGCCTAACCCGTCACACAAGTCGGTTTCCTTTCCCTCCGTGATCTCCGATTCCGTTTCTCGTCAACAGAGCTGAACGAATTTTACTCGAATTTCAAATCGGGAATGATATTTCGAATTCGGTGCTGTCCAATGTTGGATACGTCAAAAAAATGGAGATTACCATATCGTTATAATTGACCTCTAGTATCAAACTTGATCTGTTACAATTAGTCGAATACATTTTGACCTCTGTTAAATGTTTGAAATAATATTTCCCTCGGTTGTTGTAGAGATAGCTATATATACACGGCAATAATCATAGCTTTAAAAAATGTAAATTTCAAAATCTCCCGATTTAAATTTGTGAAATTTCGTCGTATTACCGATTAGCGCGATGTTTAGTGCTCCAAGTATTTGTCGCTGTGGCGCCAGTGAACAGTGAGGTATGTACAGAATTATGTATGTTAAAAAATGTAGAAAAACTGTACAAATTCTGATTGAATATATCTTCAATTATGTCAGATTGTTTGTTGAATTCTATTGACCAGATATTGTGCACTATAATATGTTGATTTTGTCGTTTACACACGTATTTTAAATTGTAAAGGGAAATAGTAGCGTCATCTACGGCAGAATGTTCAAGGTACCAGTCGATTAGTATTGCATCTTTGTCGCGAGATGGAAATAGGGTTTTTTTCTGAATTATTTATTATAACTAAAAAATTAAATATCAATTAAAAGCATCACCATAATAGACGACGGTTAATGTACAACATCGATTCAGGAAACAATCTGATATCATTGGGAAAAATACGTAATCTTAATTTCGGTTAATGACCCGAATTGTCGGATTGGAGTGGACAACTGAATACTTTGAGCGTCAGTAAATGTGTAAGATAATGAAAATGTTAAATGTATTTCTGAGAAGAATTTCAAAATTACTATGACATATTAACAGAAGAGTTACGTGAATCAGTGTTGTGCAAACAGATAAGAACGTAAGATTTAATTTTCATTATTCCTTTTTCATGACGATAAAAATGACGCGAGGTTAAATCCGGTTCAAGTTCGTTCATTGTATTCTGGTTACGTGTATTTTTCTTCTTTACAAAGGTTCGACTTGTACAAATAATTTGATGAAATTTGGCGCTATGATCGTCCAACTTAAAAGATTTGTTTTACCATTCTGCAAGGTGGGTAAAGTTGGGAAGGTTTGTGCACAGTTCGTTAGACATGATTCTTCGCAAGCTTCGTCTAAAGTTTTAGAACATCTAAATAGTAGAAGTTTATTACGAATTAGAGGCAGAGATGCTTCAAATTTCCTACAAGGATTAATTACAAATGACATGAAGCATATTGAAGAAGGAGCAGCTAATTTGTATGCACTATTTCTAAACATTAAGGGTAGAGTGATGTATGATGTTATTATATATAAAAGTCATGAAGATGATGTATTTTATATTGAATGCGATTCCAAAGCTGTAGATCCATTGCAAAAACACTTGAAAATGTACCGTGTCAGAAGGAAGATAGACATAGATAACATAGAAAACAACATAAATGTTTGGGCACTATTTGATACTTCACAATATTTAAATAAGAATGATGCTGACAGTAACAGGCAAAAGCTTGAGGGTGCAATATTTCCATGTGGTACCCTGAATAATAAGTCAAGCAAAGTAGTAGATAATATTATGATGTATGAAGATCCTAGACTTGCAGATTTAGGTATCAGAATATTAGCAGAATCAAACATTGAAAGAAGTGATATAAAAAAGCATTTGAATTTCAATGCATTAATGTCAAATAATCCATTAAGTTACAAAGCATTTCGTTATACACTTGGGATATCTGAAGGTGTCGATGATTTGCCACCGGGGAAGCCTTTACCTTTAGAAGTAAATTGTGATTATTTACATGGAGTTAGTTTTCATAAGGGTTGTTATATTGGTCAAGAGTTAACAGCACGTACTTATCACACTGGTGTAGTTAGAAAACGTATAATGCCTTTATTATTTGAAGAGCTTTCTACTAAATCTTTTTCATATGATGAAAAAATTATAGACGAATCTGGTAATGTAGTCGGTAAATTTAGGGGAAATGAAAAAGAACATGGTTTGGGCTTAATGAGAATTACTGAAGCTCTTAATGCTAAGTCTCTTACTATGTTAGATATGAAACTAAAAATATCAAAACCAATATGGTGGCCACAAGAAATACAAAAAGAAAGTGCTTCTGCTAATAAAAAATCATAAAAAATGGCATGTATTTAGTGTGTACAGAGTTTTGTGTTCCTACATTTACAAATGTAATATTTAGATGTAAAATAAATTTACTATTAAAAGAACTATAGAGTATTTCCCATCCTTGTTAATTTTTAGGATGGAATCTATACCAAGTACATCTGTCAGTCAAACAGGGAGTAATGAGCCTAGCCATGGTAGTACTTCAACAGGCCATGAGCCAAAGGAATCCACAAGTGGCGTGTTCACCTGTTCTTATTGTTCATTGCAAGAACGTTTCGATTTCAAAGGTGTCAAACCACCGTTTGCGCGACAAATAACTTATTTAGAAGAATGTTACGTTATGAAAGATCCCTTTAGTATACCAAATAAAGGGGAAGTTTTAGTACTTGGAGCTGATTGTAGTGTTTGTAACAAACCCGTATGTCTGGGATGTAGTATTTACTTTGGGAAACGATTTTGCTCCAAATGCGCGTCTAATAATATACACTACCTACCATCTCAACTGCATACAAAAGTAAAGAATTTAATAAAGAGTACCGATTCATAAAAATAGTGTTTTATTAATTTTTAAATAATTGCTTCCACTCTTACGATCTACATTAAAAAGTACAGTGATAAAACTTCTAAAAATACTATATCACCTTATTAAAATCATTGTTTCCATTAGACATATCTCTTTTCGCTATCTATCACAACAGATAGTTTCATTTTTTCGAAAGTCTTATAAATTAAATTCAACTGTTAAAGTTAAAATAATAGAATGCCTTACAATAATAATAATACAGATGTCTTAAGTTCCATCAGTTTGATGGTTTCTTAGGTTTAGCAGCAAGTTTCTCTGCCAGAAGCTTCTTCTTTTTTTCTAACTTATTTGATTTCTTCTTCTTCTTTCCATCAGATTTTTGACCTTCAAATGCGCTTGACTGCTGTGGACTAGTTTGTTTTACATCAAACTTTTGTCCTCTTTCTTTTATTCTCTTTGTAGCATTTTCTTTATTACGGACCTGAAAGAATCATAATACTTTAATTTCTCTTTTAGTGTTTTTAGAAACTAGATAAAAATGATTAATAAGCTTACAGAGACAGGTACTTCATCATTGTTCTTTAATTTTTTAAATGAATTCTCGTCTTCTTCTTTGGAATGTGATCTTTTTCCTTTTTTCTTTTGTTCAGAGCATGCTTTTACTCTGATTTCGCGATTTAATATTGTTGTTCCATTTAGTTCTAATGCTAATGCTGCAGCATCTTCAGTCTTGAAATTAACGTATCCAAACCCTTTACCAATACCAGTCTTATTATCTCTAATTATGCGTACAGACTCTATGTCGCCACAATCTTTAAAGTGCTTCCTAACTGTATTATCATCAACACCTAAAAATTACAGTAAACTTTAGAAGCAGTACATTGTATATTTAATCTTTCTTTATTCTATAATGATTAATATACTTACTGAAACTTAAATTTCCTACGAAAACACTTTTCTTTGTGTCACGTTTCTCGTCTGACTTGCCTGCTGTATCTACTCTGATATAATTTCCATCAATTACTTTTCCATTCATTGATAAAGCTGCCTTTGCAGATTCTTCAGAGTTGTATTTAATATATGCAAAAACTGATTTTAGTCTGGGATGAATATCTTTCTTTATTGCTGCAAGTCTTTTAGACATTTTCATAGATTTTCCTATTATACCTCTCAAACGTATAGTGTCAATATTTCCAAATTTCTGAAAGTGTTTCTTCAATTGTTTCTTTGTTAATTCTTTTGGAAGATTGCCAATAAATATAGTTCTTTTATCCTCTTTCAATTCTTCTAAGGAAGAATCCAAACTTTCATTATGGTTTTTATTTTGCTTAGCTCTATCTACTGTGCTAATATCTTCTTCCTCATCATCATCCTCCTCCTCTTCATCCTCTTCATCTTCATCATCCTCATCATCCTCCTCTTCCTCATCTTCATCGCTAATATCATCATCATCATCATCTTCAATTTCTCCTGTCTCAACAAAGTCTTCATCACTTTCATCATCCTCTACAATACTGTTTCCTAAGAGTGCTTCCAATGCTATCATAGATTTATCTCCATCATCTTCATCTTCATCTTCAGATTCTTCATCATCATTGTCATCTTCTTCCCCTTCTCCTTCTACATTGTCATTAGCTTCTAAGTCTTGATCACTATCTTCATCATCATCATCAACACTTTCAATTCCAGAGTTATCTGAACTATCCTTCGAAGAATCATTACTTTCATCTTTTGACTTCAATCCCTTAAACATTTTTACCCCTTTGTTTATTTGAACCTCTTCTTCATCTTCCGTATAATCTTCATCTGATTCGTCAGAATCATCGGCTAAGCTTGCACCCAGGATATTTGGTACTATATTTTCTTCTTTATTCTCAGCCTCATCAGAATCCTCCTCATCTTCACTACCATTGCTTTCCCGCATAAAGTTATGTTCTTCTAAAAGAATTCCTTCATTGATATCCTCATCCGAATCAGAGTCATCTTCTTCAGATTGCACTTCATTCTTTTGTTTCAGATTCTTAGATGTTTCCTGTTGTTTTTTATCAGATTTTGGAGGGTTTTTCTTTTTCAGTTCTTTGTTCTGATCTGACGTTTTTTGAGGTAATGTACTTTTTTGTTTATCCCGTTTTTGCTGTTTTACATTACTGCTACTATTCGATGTCTTTGATCCATTAACTAACATAACTTTGCCTGTTGGGGTTTGTTTAAACTTCTCGTTTTTTTTCTTGTGTATGAATCCATCTTTAGGTGTACGCAGGAGATTGTTAGTTTGATCTTTGTTCTCGTCTGATACTACTTTAACCATCTTCTTGGAATCTTTTCTATCACCTTACGAAAACTACACTATCGCAAAAGAAGCAAAGAATTTATGATTTGTATATACGATACTTTTAAGGACGTTCCAAATAATTCAAATCTCGTGGTATTACGAAATTAATATTCTAGGTGATATTCTTTATATAGCGGATAAATAAACAGTTAATCAGTGTTAATGATTAGGATATGACATTTTAATAAACTTTAGTTATTGCGTACGGTTTATTTAAACATGTAATTAAGTTACTTACCACAAGTCGAACTGCACAAATCAAACCGTCTCAGTTCACTTTGTCTTTTAAAATGCCGGCGATGCCGGCTCGTAACAAAAAAACGCTTTAAGCGCCAACAGGAAGGATAAAATCAGCCATAAGCGTTTGTACTTTTCCTGTAGCTCAATACTCCAGTTTAAAATGAAACTTCCTATGTCACTTCCCTAGAAATGTAGTACAATTTCCCTATGATAGGAAACTAAATTGCAATAATTCAAAAATTATTTTAAATTGCAGTAAAAGAATAAACAATAATGTAAAACAAATTCATAGACTGAGGCATGACAATAAACAATGCAACAATATTTGTTGTTATATTTGAATCTTTAATAACAAAAAGAAGGTTATGTTTTGAAGTACTTCCACCTACTGGATTCAAGTGAATTATTGTAAAATTTAATATATTGAATACTGAAACAAATTTAGGTAACTGTTTATTGATATTATATCATACAATAACAATAACTTTGTATGGAATTAATCATTTAACACTGTAAATAACAATTGTCAAAACCATGTGACTAAATACATATATGTATATTTTTAATTTTTCAGCTTGCATTTACTCTTTTGTACAATGGATGGAGTTGGATTGTTCAATACTTTTCTTCAAATTCATCAACCTCAGCTAGAATCATCTGGAGTACCAAGATTGTTTTGGGAAGTTCTATTTAAGAAACTTCAGTATCAAACTTTTGATTCTGGTCTCGCATTTCAATTGATAAAAATTGATTATGATGATGCACCTAGAGGTCCAAAAGATCCTGTTTGGAAGCTGTTTGTTTCTGCTGAGAAAGATATTTCTGCTCAAGATCCTAGTAACATTTATTTAATAGATCACGCATGGACATTCAATACCAGCAGTATTAGACAAAATTTATCAAGCATACCAGGACTTTTGAATCGTATGTGTACCTTAATGGGTTTTGACATTGAAGAAGAAGATAATGAAAAAGTAGAATTTATAATGAATGAATTGTGGAGGTATAGTCAGTCATTCTCTCTTAGTAGCGGGTCTATAGAGGATAGAATGCCAATATGGTATATCATGGATGAAGTAGGTTCAGCTATAAATCACAGTGATGATCCAAATTTTAGAACAGTCCCTTTCTTATACCTACCGGAAGGTGTTACTTACACTTTGTTATTCCCTATAAAAGATGTTGATTGCGAAGAAGAAATTACCAGAGATTTTGTCGAAGGTCAAACAGTTGACCCAAAGAAAAGACAAGCTCTATTACTACCATGGCTAGACACGTCATTTTTTGGTGAAAGTTTTATACAAAAAGAGCCTGATGAAAATTACTTTCTGGCTGGTCACATTCGAGAGAGTCTACCTGAAAATTTAAGTACACAAGTACTACAGAAGGACAGAAGTTCAAAGCTGAAAGTTTTTTCGCAATATTCATACGTAAATGATTATTTAAACGATCCAGCATTTGAAATTGTAGACAATGAAGAGCAAGCAGACATTTTATGGTATACTTCCCATTTCAAAGAGTATAAAGAACTAAGAGATCGGTCGCCGCACATTTTCGTGAATCAGTTTCCATTCGAATACGTTGTGACTGTAAAAGATTTATTGTCCATCGTATCTAGAAGAAAATCGGGTGAAAAATCGTACAATCCTGATACTCTTGAAACATATCCGGAGTGGTTACCAACTACTTACAATTTGAGTACAGAACTGGTGGAATTCGTTGCGTATTTCGAGCAAAGAGAATCGATGGGCCTGGACAATCATTGGATTTGCAAACCTTGGAATCTCGCCAGAGGATTAGATACTCATGTCACTAAGAATTTATTCCATATTTTACGCTTACCTAGCACGGGACCAAAGATCGCTCAGAAGTATATTGCCAACCCGATCTTGTACGAGAGACCAGAAATTGGCAAAGTTAAATTTGACGTGCGATACGTGTTACTGTTGAAGTCCGTGAAGCCCCTCCGGGTGTTCGCGTACAAAAACTTCTTTCTAAGATTTGCAAATAAGGAGTTCGCTTTAAATAATTTCGACGTGTACGAACAACATTTCACGGTTATGAATTATTCAGAGGACACGCCGCTTTGTCACCTCAAGTGCGCGGACTTTATCTTGGAATGGGAGAGACAGTATCCGGAGTTCTCGTGGAGTGAACAGGTGGACCCAAAAATCATGCGCATGTTCCGGGAAGTTTTCGAGGGGGCGACGGCGGAAGAGCCACCGACGGGTATCGCGGATAGTCCTCAGAGCAGAGCAGTATACGCCGTCGATCTTATGCTCGAATGGAAGAAAGGGGATGTGCAGCCGGTTCTGTTGGAGATTAATTTCTCGCCCGATTGTAAACGGGCCTGCGAGTACTATCCGAATTTTTACAACGACGTCTTCCGATGCCTTTTCCTGGACGAGAATAATCCGGAAACGGTTCACGATCTATGTTCCGGTTGCGATTAAATTCGACCGGGAACAGAAAATTACGGACGGCTTGGAGTGCCCGAACGGGCCGTAAACATCGAGAAACTATTAACGATCGTTCCGTGGTCAGTACGGTGACCAAAAACGTATTTATTTATTCAGAACCGTCGGATCCCGCATTTCGTATGCGGTAATGAGCAGAAGTAGCTCCACTAAATCTGCATGCCCGAACGTTAAGGGTACGTTTGCTCCGTAAATAATTCGCGCCTGCCATAACTTGACGCTGCAACGGGAAGACTACCGTGCTACCTAATGGAATAATAAACGAGGGAGCAATTGGAACAGTTTCATGACGTCGGGCCACTTCGGTCACCGCGTAATGTTCGCTTCTAATGTACAGCCGTATGCTTAATGCAAAAAGAAGCGTGTGACGATGGGAACGACGATGTAGTAAGTCCTCCATTATACGAACTAATACGGTCATGAACCTGGCTATAATGGAAATTCCATTCTACGATCATTTAATAGCGTTACGTCACATCCTTCGAGAAAGTTCCAATGAATTTCCTAATAAAGATCCATACGAACGAAGCGTGTACCGTAGTTTCTCTCATTTGTTTTTTATTTAATTGCTGACTCGTTAAACGCTATCGAGCTGGCGTAGAAGATTGTACGTATCGGTTCGTAATTCACGATTTTGCTCCGCCAGCGATACCATAATCAATCAGGAACAGTCGTTTCTTTGTTTCGCGCCCCCATCGGATTGAATCACGCGCATAGCTGACAATCACTTGCGATAACAATGACACCGTGCCACCGTATTTCGTTAACCTCCGTCGCGTTCGTTAGTCGGTTATATGTTATATCGCCATGAATTCGATGCTGGTTTGTTCTTGTTCTAAAAACCGTTTGTCGTTGTACTTCCCGACGCAGTGTTCGACCGTATGCAATTATGCAAACGTATCGAATGTTCGAATGGAACGAGTTTAACGCTATTTTACCGCCCGATTAATATCACATCGCTGAAAGTGTTACGTTCAATAACGATCTAACCGCTGTTAAAAGAGCAATTATGTTGTGAAGAAATCGCGATTCGTGATTGAAAAATCGATACAATATTACAGGTCGCGAGTTCGCTGAGCAATTTAAACGTTAATACCGTATCACGGTAAAAGCTATTCAATTATTTACTTACGATAATAATTATTCATGACCCGAAAAGCGGATGTTACCGGAATTTTAATTGTTATACAATTGCGCGAGAGCCACTCTACGCAGCTAAACATTTAAACCAGTTCCTTCCGTTTCCACTGAATTATCCCGTACAGCAGCGTCATTTCCATTTTAACGCTATACACACGGAATTCATTTGTTCCACGGCAGAGAATTTACAAAAAAAAAAAAAAAAAAAAAAATAAAAAGAACCTCGTGCCCGATGCATCAATCGGTACGGCGAATGACTCATTGCGAGAGCAATGCTATGCCGTGATGCATGTTTCGTTTTTTTTGCCCACTGTACGATAGACCGATTATTTTTCAACCTGAATCCACCCTCCCCCCTGACGGTCGTAGAAGGTGTGCGTGCGGCTCCAGGTAGTCGGCCTCGTTCCATTGTGCAACGTGCATTCCCGAATGTTACTTTCCGCGGGGGTAGTCGCGCATTCGCTTCTGCACGTCGCGACTATTCGCCGCCCCCTCCCGCCACCGCGAGTTACGTGTCGTCTCGTTTGAAAAGGTGGCCGTCGTCGTGCAACCACCTTCAATTCCTGGCGGGTTTATGCGACGTCGGCATAGCTGGTAATCACGGCAATTAAGCAAATGAGTTCCGCGTATAGGGACGTCGATAACGAGGGCGTCACGGGGCTCGAGACAAATGTAGAGGGGGTGAGGACTCGCGGTCGCGACTCAACCCCCCCTCTACACCTTTGCCTCTTCCCTATCGTCTTTTTCTTTCGTTTTCGTCAGTAACGACAGCCTGACCGACGCCGACGGGGGTTCGTGGTTGATACCGACACCGCGATATTACAACCCCCCCTGCCCCTCGAAGATTGATATCGAGAAGTTGGAATAGCAGTCGCGCGTTCGCCCTTTTATTTCCATCGAACCACCGTCGAGCCTGTTATTTATCTCGTCGCCGAGCGTCGATCGGCTCTCCCTTCTCCGGCTGGGTAATTCCGTGTGCTCCTTGCCCCGGCGACTCGAGGGGTAATTTGGTAATTTTCTTTCGACCTTTAGCGCCGGGTCCCGGAAAGAATTCGCCCGGCCAGCGTCCAGCAATTATTCGCGAACACCCTTGTCGAACCCTTCGAAGGTTTCCGGCCTCTTCTCCGGAGGGAAAATAAAAAGGAATAATCGTCGGGGCGCGAAGAACGCGAGCAATTCTCCGTTTTACCTAAATGCCATTTCGAGTCGTCGTTCGAGAGGGCCGTTAAAACGGCGCACCGCAAAATTAGTCCGGGATGCCTGGGCACCCTGCATCGGGTCGTTTCTTCTCTTCGTTCCACCCCCCCCCCCCCGGAAGGGATTGCGCGGGAAGGAGCGACACGGAAAAGCCGCCGTGGGATAAAAACGTAGAAATAAAAGTACGCGCAATTAGAGGAGAACCGGGGAGCTTGGGGTGGTCGCACGAATTTCGCGTCGTGCCGCGATAAAAGTCATTGTCTCGTTGCGGAGGCTCGCCGCAGCCTGTCTGACACGGTATTAAAAGTGACCCAGGTCGGATTGCAAGGTGCTCGAGCAACCGTTTGTTTCTGTGGTTCGGTTTTTTCGACGGCCAAACGGGAGCCAGGGAGGGATGTTGTTTCGCGTTTTACGCCTCGAGCAACGCAACGGCGGAACGGCCGTTCTCGAAACCGTACGCCCTCCGCCCTACCCGAAATCCTCGTTTATTGTTAATTAATGCGCTTAATTGTTATTTCATGCGCGGTAAGTATGATGTATACAGTCCATTACGGGCAAGTTTGTCTGGAGGAAATTGCGGGACAACTCTGTAAAAAGTATCTCTTTCTCTCTCTCTGTGTACGGAACCGGTGGAACTCGTCCGGGGAGCACGCCGCGAGAAATGGCTTTTTTATTGAGTCCCCTCCCCCCTCTAGCGGACGTTGAGAACGCCCATCGCGCGTTCGCCTCGGTTTTTCGAGGATGTAAATTTTCTTGCGGCCCGGCCCCTCGAAGGAAGAACCGCGTTACTTAACGACGCGGCTGAGTCGGAGGCTCGTAATTTCAACTTCCACGGAACGTTTTGCGCGGGATCCTGTCGTTAATGTTCGACGTGGCTCGCTCGGGAGAGCTGCTTCGAAATCCTCCCCGTTGTTTCTTTTACACGTTCGCTCGATTCCCGCTGGAAGAGAAATTCACAAACGGCGCGCACACCAAGTTGAAAGTTTTAACACCGTTCGGGACCAGTACCCGTATCATCTTGCTATCATTCGATCGGAAGGGTACCGTCGATTGTGTACGTCGGTCCAGTGAATTATTAAAAAGAGTCGTCCGGAGGTGAACAGAACGAGGTGGACTGTGCGCGTTTTTCAGCCACAGAATATAAAACAAGCCACGATGCGGTCTTGTCCTGGTGGACGTGGTGTCCGAGCAGTCGACCCTGCATAAATTTTCGTCAGACCAATTTCATCCGACTGCTCCCCCTGTTGCAAGGGGAATTTTTCTCTAAAGCCTTCGTGGTCGCGCGGTCTCGTCACCGACATCCTACTGTCCGTGGTTACGTAAGTTCGACGTCTTGTCTGTTTCACGGGGACCGATAAGAATGCAAATTTTGATCGCCTAGAGAGACATCGTCCTGGTGGTGTTTGATTATTCGCGATTTTAAGTTCAACGTCGGTGCTCCATTCGTCGTAATTTATGCAGACACTATGGAAGGAGGGATCGACTTGGTAGCACGAAGTTTCTTACCAGGGTGACACCCTCTTCTTGTTGGGTGAAATAGACGGGGGTAGTTTTAGACCGGCGGCACGCACCCTACAGTGTTAGACATCTTTAGCAGACTCCTGATCTCCCTCCTTAGTTAGACACGCGTTATTGCACCGAAAGGAAAGGGGGGAACTTTCAGTGTTTCTCCTGCGTCCTAGACCTTCAACCGCATACATCCTACCGGTTTCCCGGTACTTCTGCGGGGAACAGGCTTCATTACGCCCCCATAAATCACGACCAATGTACGGTGTACGCATCGGACCACCGGTAGGCATCGCGCAGTTATTAATTACCACCACGAGATGCCAATAAAAACGTAGCTCGTGTGGAAGACGTACTGAACCAGCAGAGAATCTATACCAGAATGTTGTCGAAACCCTGATACCAATGTGTTCTTTCAATTTCCGTGTTAATCGAACTCGATCGAGGGATTTATTTACCAAATTTACCACATCGATTCTGTTCGAAAGCGTAGGGCTTTATTTTGTTCTCGGGTGGTTGGGGTGAAATTCTCGTCGAATCGTTCGAGTCATTCGGTCGCCGGGAATTGCGTTCGGAACACTTGTCGCCGTGCATAAATCAACTGCTACGCGTTCGGCCGTTTGCACACGGTTCTCTGTTACTTCGTCACTTTGACAAAGGCGGGCTGGTTCGCATAGGTGGAACTCGATCGAAACCGCGACGAGAGGATAGTCACCGATCAAAATATCATTATTCTCCGTTTTACACCCTTCGAAACTCGTTAATGCTTTTCCGTAATTGACTCGCCTCGATGAATGACCTCGGCACCGGTGGTACTGTCGTCATTGTGGGTAATGACAGGATTAAAACAACGTTCGAACCATTCCGGTCCGGCATTTAATTATTAGCAGAGGGGCGGCAGTGGGGTCGGCACATTTTCCCACCTGGCGCTCACCGTGGCTCGGTTGCTGGGATGTATATTCAGAATACGCGGCATTTTATTGACCGACTCGGGACAATCGGTTGGCATATTTACACGTACGAGGGACGTGCGCACCCCCGTTCGCTGTCCCTCTATAATTGAAATTTAAAACGTCCCGAAATCCGCCGGATTAAACCACGTTCGCGCTGCGTTTCATCGAAATCCCTTTTCGTCGACTCTTCCCGCTCGGTATCGACTTGCATAAACGATGGGAAATGCAACGAACGTCGTTGCAGAACGGGACGATGGAATCGATTGGCTTTTCAAGGTTAAAATTATTTCCACAGAGACATAGACACCGTTTCATTTACGTATCTTCTGCGTCAGCTGTCCTACATTTTGATAAAAGACGATCATACGGCTCGGTGAAAGCGAACTTTATCGTCTGCTCCCATCAGCCAGAGATTCTCGCCGTTTTGGGATTCCTCGGCGATTCACCCTGTCGTCGTCGGTGGATCCATTTCACCCTGAACAAAGAGAACCAGCCCGTGGTTCCCCGTTCCATCTCGTCTACGGACGAGAGCTCCCTGGAGTAGTGATTATCGCGGGAAAACGTACCGAAAGCTTCATTACACCGGCGCGGTTACATTATGCACGGCACTTGAAACAGCCGGAACGAGCACACCGGGCCGCAAGGTGGACCGTAAGGCGTCTAGCCGCGCGGCCGTCACCTTCCTTTTCTGCGTACGCTCTCCTTAGAACGCGAGAAGGCCTCC